TGTCCTCTTATTGAGATGATATGGAGATGATATGCGATAGGAGATTTAAAACTGGAAGGGTAGAGCAGTTACTCTTGTGGCGGCGGACACCATTGACATGTCTATATTACTCACCGGGTTTCTATACCAAATTAGTTAGATAGGTATTAGGTTAGGTAGTGTTCAAACATCGCCTTAAGATGGCCGAGCCCAGCTTTTTGGCTTTTCGGTGTGCCACCAGTTCGTGGTACGTAGTAAACCGGCTGCTATCCGAAACAACCCTCGCTGTTCTTCCTTCTCCAGTACTACTTCAAAGACGTTGAAGTGTGATATCTAGCGTCATGCCAAAATAGGAAAGTCACTCTTTTCTGGAAGACTACCTCTTATTCCGAATCGGGTCCGGCCCGAGCATGCGTCCCATGCGACGATGCGGCGACATAGAAATCTAGCCTTGATGTAATGCGTAATCGCCACCAACGTCCGCTCTGTTGATCCTGGTCCTTTGGGAAGCCAACTATACTTGATCACGCACCTCTCGGCTCATGCCTAGTAGTACATTCTGAGGAGAGTTGAAGTATGTCATGCATAGGCCGAATAAGTATTCTGAATTATATCACGATTTCTCGCGAATATTAGGATTGAAATATTCGCTGACTGCAGAATATTTATCCTACGCTGAAAAGGGGGCTGACAGCCTGCAGCAGTCGTGGTAAAAATTTTCGTGGCGGTTTATACTTGCCATGGATACATACCTTACATAGTACGAGGGTAGCCTTATCACTGCTTGACCGGGTGCTCGACGGCTTCAGCGCTGAGGTATTTTCAATATTTTCAAGGTCGTCCTGAAAACCCATTTTCATGGAGGTAATAACACGCGTGGCGTTTGTCTTTCATTTCCGTTCTTGTTACCGTTACCTTCCAATGCGATAGCCATTTTGCCTACTATGTAACGACCAAGACGCCAAAATCTGACGCGTAACAAGTCCACGGGTATCGGGTTCCACTATCTACATAGTAGACCGGGGGAGTAGCGGAAAGTGGGCAGCGTATGCGTCTAAAGCCAACGCGATGCTATACTGCGAGATGATATTCATCTACTTATTAGTCATATTATGTTGTGCCTCTGGATCCTTGCTTCGTGTCGACGAATTCTTGTCTGGACAAGGCTGCATGATTTGACAGCTCGACTCAGCAAATCGGTTTTGAGCATTGCGCCTATTCCATATGAATTCGTAGTTCTGCTTAATAGTTCGTTGTCCCGTATCCTTTCCCATACAGGCTCACTTGGAGAAAGGCCATAGTGACGCGTTCTTCTACTGGTTTGAGGCACTATGTTATTAGAGCCCAGAATTTCCACATATCCGTACAATGCCCCTTGCATTGGGGATGCTGATCAGTGAGTGAGGAGCGGGACAGTGGAACAGCGGGGAATAATCGTAAGGCAAAATCTGAGACCTGCAGAAGGACAAGCCAGTAAAAGTGCGCCACTGATGTTATCAACTCTGAGAGGCCACCCCCTCTAGTGGCTCCGAGAACCAATACGCTGGAACACACTTCTGACTGGCTGCGGCGAGCTGTTATAGATTGGCTAGTTACCGCTTCAGCGCCTTTTTTCTATCCTTCCTCCCTCCCCTATTCCGTTATGCGAACCCGCACGGCAACCGCATCTGATCCGAATGTTTGAATACGAATGGCGACATGACCTAAATTTCAGCTGACATGGTTGTACGGCGCTGATAAGTGGGATTTGGGAAGTACAATGCATAGTTGGTACTTTGTTATAGTTCGTTCCCTGTGTTCTGTGGGGCATACACAATTTTCCCTTTCTTCTCTTAATAATGTTCTTCCTCTCTTCCGATTGGGAACTCCGGGTGCAGGTGAGTTGCATCGTCTCCGAAGCGATTACCTATTAAGGCAAGCTTGGCCGGCACTGGGAAATTTGGGACCCCCCCCTGAACGGACTGTCGGGTTGTTTTTTTTTTTTTTTTTCGCATGATGTCCATATGATAGAGGAATATGAGCGACAGATTCGATGATGTTACGAGGTCCGTGAGCTCGACAGGGCTGAGACATTTCCCAAGAACTTCAACATCCTAGAAGGCGTCGAGAACGCTTCGCTTACCACGTAGAGTCTAGACAATCTTAAAAGCATGGTGCTCCGAAGTTCTATATGCACATCTCGATTCGGAATGCTTGCTTTTTCATTTCTTATCCTTGGCAAACGTGGGCGTAAGACATTGTAGCTATCAGGATCTGTGCATCCCCGCATGTTTTGAGATGAGATAGAGAACTCTTAGATAGTGAAGAGACGGGCTTGGGTAGAAATTGCTCTACACCCTTCATTAGACTATTTGACGGCCCAGGAGTTCCGTCTGAGTGAAAAGTAATCGAGTAAATTGAGTATACGCCTAATGCAGGGACAAGCCTGACAAGTCACACTGCATTTTAGCCTGTCTTCGCCGAAGCTTCGTACCTGCAGGACTAGCCTCAGAAGAGGTGAATCGGGCTAATACCTGCCTTAGGTAGGTACAAGTATTAGGTAGGGTAAAATGGTGTAGGTTAGGTATATCTCCCATGCCAATGTTCTACCGACAACAAGTTAATCGAAACCACGACAACTATGCCGCTAAGTAGTGACTAGAAAAATGAATTTGTTGAGATTTTTCATGCCTTGGGAGCTGAGACGTCGCCAAGGTCACCGTCGTTGACTTGCAAGTTAGCTGCAGAGTGTCTGCCCTATACTCCATGTGCACTGAACCTGTAACTATGTCTCACCGGCACGCGAGATAGTTTAGCTGCATTTTCTACCTAAGCAAGGGTAGTGCAGGTGCAGGTCTTGGTATTAGACGAATATAATTGTCGAGGCTCGCCATCCCTAAATAGGTCAATTGGTAAAACATCGAAACTAATAATAACATCCTTTCAGTACAGCCTGATGGATTTAACCTTATAAGATTCGGCCCGCGCTCTGGCTTGTTATATTAGAATAATATGTAAATCTGGGTCGGTATGCGACGCATTGCCGCGCGTAGTGCGCAGTGCGCAGTGTGCAGAGTGCAGTATACGGCGAGAATAAGGTACCTAATGCATGACTTGCAGACGGGGAATCCTGTAGGAGGTTTTCTCAACTCGATACCGACAGAGGGCTGACATCTATGGACGTGTACACTAAGTATGAGGTACCTTAGGTACCTAGGTCTAGTCCCGGTCACGTTTTTTAGGTAAGGTGAAATGTTTTCGTATTGCACCAAATAGTCTTAGCGTCCCATATAATTTTGTGTAGGTGCTTTGAACTTTGCTTGGAGTTGCCCAATTCCTTCTTGGTGCTCCGATGCTTTTAGATGCTTTTACCGTGCCGTTGGTAAGCGACCAAGGTTGCGACCAAAAGTTGCGACCAAAGGTTAGGTGCTCCATAATTCCCCCCTACCACTTAAACACTGAGATTCCCATTTTATTTGTGTGCCGCGAATATTGTGCGACAACGGATCACCAGTAGGATTCCTTCAATGGCTATCACTATATGTCATACTACTGAGGATATGCGAAAATATACAACAAGTGGACGTAATGGGATGTACTATGTAATGTACGCGCAGGATTTCAGCGAATCTGCTGCATTATGTCGGACTCCACTGAGCACGAAGTCGATCCCCTTGTTCCATTGAAAGGCAAAGGAGCCAGTCGCAGAGCGCGCTCGAATTGCTCGAAACCAAATTTCTCCACGATGCTATCTTAATAAGGCGCCAATTTGACTAGTATTGGTTATCTTGGGAAAAAAGACCGAACTTACCTAATTAACCTACAGTAGTCGAAACGGGCGACAACTTAACCGAGTATGTATACGATGCCCTGCTGCCTCTCTAAACGGCCAAGCGCAGAAGCTCTTCTAGGCTGCCAAGGTACTATCATGTACTACACTGGCAAGGGTCTAGGTACTGTCTGGAATTCTAACCCCCTCCTCCTCTCTGGCCAGACCCTAGACGGTGGATGGGATGGACGATGGCAATACTTGGCAGATGGTGAACTCTAGCTTCCCCATGTGGTCCACTGGGCCTCCGCCTGGGAGCACACCCCCAAAATGCCCAGTGAAGCCCTTCCACCATTCAGCGGTCCAAGTCGTACAAAGGCGAGATACGTCAGGGCGACCCAAGAAGGCTAACCGGCAAGGATTGTTCGTGCTCACTGCCTGTCGTATATGCCTAGTGTGTATCTAACATGCAGTTGGGTACATCCATACATGTACGATACCACCAGAGGTGACCAGATCCACTCCAAGAGTTGCAACCATCGAGTATCCCCTACCCCAAGCCCCCGGCAACACGCCGTCAATTGGCTTCCAGGGTCGGGGCCGCCCCCATCTGTCTGTTTGGTTACATGCACTGCTGCCACTGCAATGTACTCGAGGCCCTCACCTAAATATGTCCTTCCCTCCTGCCATATCTGTCTATTCGTGTGATTCTGATCTTTTTGCTTTCTGGTGTGTGTCGCTCTTTGTTCATGTTCTCGTCTCTACCTGTAATTCATGTGTGTGGGAATACCCTCATCTACATGCCATTCGGGGCCATGAACGCCACCTAAGCCGTCGACCTACTTACACATCAGAAGCATTCGCCGCACTCGTCTCCGGTCTATGGTCTATGGTCTATGCCTGGTTATTGGCCTGAAGTGATTAGACGACTATCTTAACTTATATGCTTCCAGACGTGCATAATTCTAGTTGACAGGACGGCTGGACCCCGAGATTTAGTGAGAAGGGACGAATCGATTAGTAGTTACGCGGCCGCGAAATATACGTACCTTTCTCATCTTACCCGATATTCCGAGCCATTCTACAACAACCTCGTCGAGTTGCGTTTCTATTATTCCGGGGTCGTATATTTTGGACAAAACATTAATAAACAGGGTATACGTTTTATAACTACTTCTATACGACTACCTTCGTTGGTTCTGCGATATCTTATCGAAGGGTAGATTTATTCAACATTTTCAAGAATTGGGGTCGGAATAGAGAAAATCTCAACATGGCGAACAACTCGATAGAAGCCTTGCGCGGCGGATGCCCCGCGCCCTTTTTCAATGAACTCTCATTCCCTGCGAAGGGAGGACGTAAGTCTCGAGTCTCGGTTCTATACCCCGAATATGTCTAATTGTTTTGCAGATGTGGAGGGCAGGTTGTGTACGCCCTTTGCGAACTTGAATTGTTGCGTCCCTTGCCCTATGACGGACTGGGTTTATCCAGATAATTTCCAATCAGCGACAACAGCTGCAAACTGGGTTAATGTCGTAGGCATGATTTGCTGTGCCTTTCTCTTGATTTCCTGGATTGTGCTCCCCGTTGAGAAGACACATCGTCACTATCTAAGCATCAGTCTCACTTGTGCCACGGTTCTCATGAATGTGAGTTAGCTTTTAAATCAGACATCTGCAGTCTGAATATAGTTGGCTAATTGTCAATAGCTGGGCTTCATTATCCCCTTAGCAGCGAAACCAGAACAGTGCTTCAACGAAATCACTCCGCATGGGATGGACACAAGCTCCGTATGTGCCGCCTCAGGTTCTTTCTTACTTGCTGGTGGCTGGGCTGGCATCATGTGGGTTTTTCTGCGAGCACTTTCATTGCATCTTCAGATATGCTGGCAATTGGTCGTGGGTCGAAACTTTATGTGGTTTTCTCAAGTGCTTGGTTGGGGTATACCCATTGTTGGTCTCGTCATCCTCCTCGTCTTCAGCGGAGTGTCATTCCGCTTTGGTGCTACATGTCACATCAACCACGAGAACAGTTTGGCCGATTTCTGGATTCCGTTGCTAGTATTCGCAGGACTCACCGTTATCATCCAATTCGCCACTTTCGGATACTGCATCAAGGTCTACCTCGCATCTCTGACTGACAATAGCGCCACAACGGAAAACTCCGGCATGCCCTCTTACTCGAACAGTATCCGCACTATGACTCCTCGTCAAGCGTATCGAAGAATACGCCGTGTTATCCAACTTCAATGGCGTGGTATTGTCATCGTGCTCATCATTATCGCCGATGTCATTTTCTTCGCCGTCATCTTTGTCTTCCTAGACAACACCGTGCAGTCGATCAGAACTAATCCGTCTAAGGCGTTAACCTGGGCGGCTTGTCTAATTCGTTCAGGTGGCGACAAGGATAAGTGCCTATACTTAGCGAACGATTTAGTCGTCAACCTTCCGACCGTTACGGCTGTCTTGGTACTCCTGGCGGTGAGTAGATATGATGGCCCGTCAATGATTCTATATGAGACTAATAGTGGTTATAGATGAACGGCATTTGGTTGCTCTTACTACTTGGCCGCTGGTCAATGGTGACTGGCTGGCTCGAGATATTCGGATCGTATACTGGTAGTCGTACCAAGAAGGAATTTGTATCTGTTGATGCTCGAATGGATATTAAGCAGGATCCCCGGTCTTATGAAATGTTGTCTCGCGATTCCGGGAAGACGGACACCGTGCTGACGCCAATTAGCCCGACGAAGTCGCCGATATCGCGAGGAGGGCGCCAGACGCCAGACTACTTCGGACAAACCGCACGATACCAGCCGCACCAACGATCGTTCTCTTCACCAAGGCCGCCGCAACAGATGCAGTGGGATACGACACAGGAGTACCAGGACTCGTATGCATTACCACCAATGCCAGCGCAATCTCCTGAGTATGAAAGCATGAACCCGCTGGCAATGAACAGAATACAAAGAGACGGAGACCCGCGATATGCGGTCCCGGGCCCCCAATATGCCCAGCCTAGTACGCCCGATCATAATCGCGGCCATGTTTTCATCTAAGCAACCGCATTTTTATTTACGCAGGCTACCTGCATTCCCACCATCGTGTACAAATTTTTCTTTTGATGTTACCATATCGAAACGGCTCAATGCCTTGAAATATGGTGTTTTGAGGCTTAAAGCGCGGCGTCTCGGGATTGGACGGATTTTGTATCAATAAAACCACACTCAGGTAACCCTAGAAGCGTGATTGACTACAAAGGATAGGAAGGGGGCACTGAAAAAAAATCTAGGAAGATACATACCCTAGAAGAGAGGAAGTACCTCAGGGAAGTAACAAGGCGGGAAGACGAAATTTAAAGAAATATACCTCATATACATATTCATAATGTGGACACCAGGTTCAGGGGAGGAGAGATGGCGGGAAGCCGGCTGGCTGGCATGTCTCATGTCTTGCCTCTGCCTAGAATGAAGTATACCACTAAATCTGAGTTGGGAGATGAAACTACCTTAGGTAGGGAGCGATATCAGATTCGTTTCCCTACCTAGACACCTATAATGTTAGCTTTGGATAGCTAGCTACATAACCTACCTACCTTAACCTAAGGGTTTACTTATTGTCTAAGCAAATAAATAAAATGAACTATCCTCTTAAAAGAGACTCGAATCATCTTGCTCGAGCTGCTTGTAGTGAATCTAGGAGGACTATCCACGTAACGAATGGATAACTCAAGGTTGTTTGTTTGATAGTTTGTAACTGCGTTAACTTGTTCCATTCTATATCTATCTAATCCCAAAAACGGCTATATTGATCATTTCGAGTAGGTACCTATTTTAATGTATGAATATTCAATTATACCTGTCACTAAAACGAGAATGATAGGGCTGCAATTACGTACAACTTATAAATGTTAGCATGTTTGTATGTAGGACGGATTACATAATAAAAGGCTTGTCTGTCTGACCATTGGGACCAAGGCTGCCAGGGGTATGGATGCCACAGTGGAGTACGAGGTACCCTGTCAAACCCGCCAACCGTCAACTCCGTGACGGAAGGACTGGCTGCCAATTCTTCAATGCTTTAACTCAGCCCGATAAGATCTACTCTCGCAGATATTAGTCTGCGCTTCTCTTCCCATTCAACCATTTTATTTTTTATTTTATTTTTTCTGGTAGATCGAAACCCACATCTTACATGGTACGATGGGTTCGTTACCAGTATTATCTATATTAATTGTCGTGTCTTGTTTCGGAATACTCGACACCGATTATTATTAGTTAAATACCTATCTTTAGCCTTTCCATTCATATACCAGGTACCTATCTACCAGGTACCTATCAGGTATCTATATCTCCTTATACTGCCTATCTTGATAAAATATAAAATATACAGCAAAATGTATCAGTTTATTTTATTTGCCTTCCTTATTCTCGGCGGTTATTTCCATTATCTGTGGAAGGCCGAAGCCGCCCTCCACGAACCATGGGTCCCGGATCCAGGTGACCGACTCTTCAGCCAGCGACCTCTTCCTCCGTTTAAGGAATCGTCTAGCATAGCAACCTATACCTTTCCTCTACGGACACAGGGTCGGAATATCGTCGATGCTACCGGCCGTCGTTTTAAACTGGCCAGCGTCAATTGGTATGGAGCCAGCGACGAGCTGTTCATTCCCGGCGGCCTCGACGTACAGCACCGCTCCGTCATCGCTACGACTATCCGGCTGCTAGGCTTCAACAGCGTGCGCTTACCGTACTCGGACGAATTGGTCATCCGAAATCCGCATATCCTCCCCCACCTCCTCACCGCAAATCCCGACCTCGTCGGCCTGCGCGCCCTCGATATTCTCCAGGCCGTCGTCGAGGCATTGACCGACGCCGGCATCGCTGTCATCATAAACAATCACATCACGAGCGCGACGTGGTGCTGCGGCGCCGACCCGTGCGACGCCGGCTGGGCCAACGACCAGTTCGGCCCCCTGTGCAAAGTCTCGCAGACCGAGGAGGAGTGGATACAGCACTGGGAGACGGTCATGCGGCCCTTCGTGAACAATCCGCGGGTCATCGGCGCGGACCTCAGGAACGAGGTCCGCGGCGTCTGGGGCACCATGTCGTGGAGCCGCTGGGCGGACGCCGCGGAGAAGTGCGGCAACCGGCTGCTCAAGATGAACCGGGACTGGCTGATCGTGGTGGGCGGGACGGAGTCGGGGAACGACCTGAGCAAAGTAGGGGCGCGGCCGGTCAAGCTCGACGTGGCGGACCGGGTGGTGTACTCGGCGCACGTGTACGCGTGGTCGGGGTGGGGGAGTAAGGAGGGGCGGTACGCGAAGCGGAGCTACGCGTCGTTCATCCAGGCGATGCGCAAGAACTGGGCGTACCTGGTGGAGGAAGGGGTCGCGCCGGTGTGGGTCGGGGAGTTCGGCGCGCCGCGCGACCCGGGCGTCGGCGACGCCAACTACTGGCGCAACCTGCTGCGGTACCTCAAGCGCATCGACGCCGACTTCGGGTACTGGGCCATCAACCCGCGCAAGCCCAGGGACAACGCGCTCGAGACGTATTCCCTCGTCTGGGACGACTGGGTCACGCCCATCCTCGACTACCGCATGCGCGACATGACGGAGCTGATTGCTGGTTCCGGGGGTGGTGATGATGAGGATGAGGATGATGGCGATGGCGATGGTGATGGCGAGGGGGATGGGGAGAAGGAAGGGCTTAAGACCGGGGATTTATAGGGTTTTATGGAGGGTGAGATGAGGGGTTGCGAGTTAGGCTTCGGGCTGCAATGAAGATAGGGAAGATGTGCTGGAAATACCCACGTGGGGAGGGAGAAGAAGAAGAAGAAGAAGAAGAAGACGTCATATGCTCTTGAATTATAGCCATGGGATATCACTGATCTAGGAATACGCGGCGGTTATGACAGTTATTAGTGGGCTTGGCCCGAGTCGACGGATTGGTTGATTGCGAGTCAGGTCCCTACCTAACCTAAGCCAGCGGGATTAGATAATCCGCTTTTCGTCATGCTGGCACATGAGAGTCGGTTGTTTGTTGGTGCTGTTGCCGTTGATGATGGTGGTGGTTGGTTGGAATTAAGCAAACCAACCTGTTGAGCTTTTTAGAAGCGGGCTATAGGCGCGAGATCGAGTGCGTATGAGTAACGAATGGCGACTGGCTTATGACTTCGTAGACATCTAAGATATTCTTCTTGCGTGCAGATTCGTGTGATTGCTTAATAAGTACTTGACAAGTTGGACCTGGGCTGAGTAACGTTGGGGGTCGGTTAGAGCTAGCGATGACATTGGTCGGCTCATGACGAGTAGGTGTTTGGTGAAAGGAAGTAAACGAACGACCCCCTTGTTGGTTTTTCAGTTGTTTTTATTAAGGAGAGAGGACGGCCGTAGAAAAAAAGAAGAAGAAAGAAAAAAAAAAAAAAAAAAAAAGGGGGGGAGGGGGGAAGGGTAACTGGTGATATGGGCTTGAGCGTGATATTTTCCCGTCTATGGTTCAATTAAATGATTTAATCAAAGAGTTCGAATAAGTTATGTCCTAGGCATTTCTCAAATATGTGTTCTAACGTGTGCGTGTTTCCGTCTCGTCGGCGTGTGCCTAGTTCGACCATATTACCTTAGGTACTTTTTGCTTTGTGGATATAATTGTGCCCGAAGACCGTCTCGTTTTATGAAATATTGTCAAGTCCGCCCTTGCCAGTAAATCTCATATCTAAGCTTTTGGGGGGAACGAGGTTACTATTCTCATAATACCTATATTAAACCCGGCCAGAAGCTTTTGGGATGAACATGCAGAGAGCATTCTTTGTTATAATTTTTTTCGTCTAAATACGAGCATGTGTGTTGGTCCTTGGGTATAATAAGATCGGGCTCGTAGGTCCAATACGAAGGTTACACTACACTAAGTCGCACGTGTATTATTAATAAATATTAAGTATGATCTGCTCCATAAAGCTTGTCAGGTAGAGAAATATGAAGCTTTGAAATAAATGTTTGTTATAGAAGAATACAATTGTCTCCCCATGGGGTAATATAACCGCTATCAGAGTACTTAGAACGGATTACCAATCGAAGGTCTCGTTCCGTACTTAATTTTAGTCATCGCTAGGTAGCCTACACTTTAGTGTTATAGGTACCTATATTGCTGGTTTGTTTTGTTTGTGGTGATGTAGTAGCTTGAATTGGTCGTTTTTGCCTGTAAGCTTGGTCGCTGATATTCGGAACGTTCTATTGGGATTCTACATAATAGGTATATTAAAATAAGCAATTCTTTTAATAGCTAGTTCCGTTGTCTCTTGTAGGACGATGAGTTGTCAAAACTATATCCTTTGCATATACAGACTAGAGTTATTGAAGATGGGAGACTGTGTGTCGTAGGCACTTTCCAGGTCCATACAAATCCTTTGTAAACTGAACCTGAAATCAGTATTTAACCCGGTTTACGATAGAAGAGTAATTGAACATGCTACTGGGATACCTAGAGTACCTACGTTAGGAAATTTTGCAGAACTGTATATTAGCTACGTGATTTGTAAGTACACTCGTCGCGGAGCTAACTAGGACCTAACCTCTTAGTCTACGCAGAGAATCAATATTACTACCGCACTTACAAGACGTCGGTGCCTAATGACAGTCAGACTGGTGCTGCAGGTTTACTGCGGCGATTCCATCGATATATCCGTGAGTTTTAATACTTACCTACGTATCACAGCTTTCAATATTCCGTATGAACCGTAAGTCCGCGTGAGTGGCTCGAAGGAATCTCACAAATTGGTCTTAGGTAGCGGTATTTATCTCAGGCCAAATAGTATTCCCAAGTCATGCATTACATATATCAATATAAAGTAAGCCAAATTTTCGTTTAAATACACTATTCACCCCTATTTCGTCGCGGGGGGTACACTTAGTAATCATAAGTTGGATATCCTAAATTATACCCGAGAATAAATAAAGTCAACTAACATGAGAGTAGAAAGCTTCTGTAAAACACTATCACAGTACAGTCCTTAGGCGGAGGTAGCAACGTCAATCCCTCGAGTTGACATCGTTTTACCTTTTGGCAGTGTAGCCGTTTGATAGTCATCTTCCGAATCCATAGGTACAATAACATCTCAGCCTCGTCGAGGGAGCTTTCGAGATCTTTCGTTTGGACAGTCAATGGTTACTTCAACGGTATTAATAGGAGTAGCTACCCGAGGTTAGCCGTATCGTACGTTCTCCATATCGTTGATTATTCCAGCTCTCCCTTAAGTCTTCACCGCTTCCAAGCGCGCCTTTATTCCCGCACTCGTCGTTTCACGGCCCCAACATCTAAGGGGACTTAGGCTTCGGATGCGTGATAAATGATGTTATCTTGAAGGTGGCCACGGGCCGCGTATGCTAGGTCTTAGTTTACGGTGGCCACCGCCGCTTGCCAGCTCATGTCGACGATATCGAAAGAGGGAAAATATGCAAAATCACAAGGCATGATGTGATGTCTTCTCATTTCCGGTGGGTGCAAATCTACGCAGAGTGCCACTTATAAATCCCGAAAACTTTGAAATAATTACTCCTATTCTCTCAGTGTGTTCGGTTTAGGTCGATCTTGAGGCGGGAACTCATCAAGTCTTGCTACATAATTCTCCATCCGATACGAGGCCAGCCAACTCCTGAAACAGATCGTGCTAACGTATATATGTCCATATATGAGGGAATTAATGCCAAGTATTAGTGGTCTTGGCACGCGTAGACTGAACGGTTAAAAAAGTTATTGCGATATAGGAGAGGGTATGGTGATCTGCCTCTGCCTCTCTACCTGTTACCGTAGGTGAAATCCGTGGGCTCAGTAACCTAACCCTGGTATGGAATCGGAATTTAATCCCGGCGTTATTCCCTGATGAGCTTAGATCATCAACTAATGAGCGACGGCTATCATCGAAAACTTCAACTTCGACGTATCATCGACTAACCCATTTATTTTCTGCCGGTTCCAAATATGAACTGTTATTGCCATGTGCTCAAGTAACTTAAGTAACAGAACAGCGGTAATGCGGCGTTATTTAGACATTTATGGGGCTCTTGAAGTGCCGGTAAAGCTAAAACAGTTCTGATTTAGCTCGATATCTGTGGGGCTAATATGGAACAATTCCGCATTATACACGTGGATTAATAAGTACAGTAAGCGAGCTGATTGTCTTTACGCCTGTTTACAAGCAGGTGGTTACAGGGATAGGGGTAGATTTCAAATCCGTTTTATAGATGAACATTGCTAGATCTCTTATTAATCCCAAAATCTGGTTACAAATTCACCTCTACGGAATAGAAACTTACAAAAAAAAAAGGGCGTCGTTGTAAGCATGAGTCATAAGATTCTTATTTCCTTGAATCAATGGATCACGATATGCCTGTCGTCATGTCAACGTTGTGATTACTAGGTACCTACTTACCTATAGAGCTAAGAGCTAAATCCGGTCGGCAATATAGTTAAATTTTGGTGGTGACCGGGATTCGGAGAATATGATAGTCGGGATTATCACGCAAATAACACCAATCGGTACATGACCCGGGAGCTAACCGATCAATCCCGGATTTTGGCCCGTTCGATTCAGAATGTTGGACCCACTATTGCGGGGATGCCTCGGTCGAAGTGTTCTGCTGCCCCTCCAAGTTGTCTTCGGTGGCCGAACCGCGTCGCGAAAGCGCGGAATCAACATTATACGGGTTAACCCTTCCTCCTCCCCACCACCCGCCAAAACAAAGTGATGAATTATCCATAATCTTTCTAGATCGCCTGTTGGAACCATATTCGTTAAGGTTATGCACCTGATCGTCGACAATGGCGGGTAGGTCGTAAGGGTTTCACTCAGGCTGTTAGCTGTGAGCTGGAAGTTGTGACAAAAGAAATTCAAAAGAAATCTAAAGGGGTTAGTCAACGGATGGTCCGAGTGATCACCGAAACTGAAGCCGCCTTTTCGTAGTTGGCATACGCTAGCAATGGTTTGAAGATGTCACCGGTTGTCTCGATAAGCTTACTTACTTTAGGTAGTCTATGTATCTAGTACTCATACAGCATAGAGTCATTACGTCAAGTAGGGAGACTACGGATAGCTAAGGTTCCACTATCTTTCTTCTCGAAAGCGATAGATTTCTATGAAGGCAGGAGGGGCTGCTAATTGTAGTAAAGATATGGGGATTTCTACACAAGCATCCCGAGGTCAACATGTATTATTGGATATACGCCCCACGACAGGTGCCCAGGGTATGCAAGGAACTTGACATCCCACATACAATGCCTAACCCTACTTACAGGGTACCCAATGCTTGTCACCTGTACCATCTATACCACCACATGAAGATGTAGTATTCACTCATGTTGGGAAGACTAAAAGTTACATGTACCCGCCATGGATAAACTTTGTGGCGGAATGCGGTCCGCATATAGTGGCTGGGTTAGAAGATGATAGATCTGGTACGATACATTAGCTCTATGTGTCCAATAAAATTTGATAAAGACGACTTCTATACTTGGGTAGAAGTATAATATAATGCTGGTAAAGGCGTGGATCTCGCGTTCGGAATTCGCGAAAACACACCTTGCCATCAATAGGGCCGCATGCTGCACTAAACGCTATACCATACCTAGGTATTAGAAGGAGGGAGGGTCCATTGGTGTGTGTGGGCGGAATTCACGGTTCAAGGTGCAAGGTGCAATAATTATGTAGGGTTCAATGACCCCAGCATCGGAAGGCGGTATATTTATGCAACTATCTGGGTACCCTACCTAGGTACCTTAGGTAGACACTGATAAAGGCAGGTATATAAAGGACGGGAAGGAATTCTTCGTAATGGAAAGAGAGGCCTGTCTCATCTGAGCATAGAAAGGAAAGTCCAAGACCAATACCTTCCCTAAGTCTATACGCCTTATCTACTCTATAAACCTATTGTTTCAACAAATTTCGAGAAAAACCAAAAAAAAAAAACAACAACAACAACCCCGAACTACAACATATCAGACACCCTAGGTACCTATCGCCATTACTATCAACATGGGTGAAATAAAAAAGGGAAGACAGATTCCGCTTCAAGTCGCGAAGGAGAGAGTTGCGACTGAACCAGACAAGGAATGGGTCTCTATACCGCGAGGTACAGAACCTGAGGATGGATGGGAAAAGATCACTTATCGCCAGTTTGGCAAGGGAATCAACTATGTTGCGAAGTTAATCACAGATTTCGCTGGCCCGGCACCCCCTGGCCAATTCCCAACGATTGCTTTTATTGCCTTGAATGACTCTCGTTATATCTCCTTTGCGTTCGGCGCCATGCTGGCGGGTTATAAGGTATGATTTTTCAGGGATGTTTAGTACAATAAGCCTCCTATTGCTAACTTTCATAGGCTTTATTCATCTCGCCTCGAAACTCGACCGAGGGTCAGATTAAACTCTTCCAGGACACGGATTGTCGGTTTATTGCCCACTCTCCCGAGTTCCAGGAGCCCGTCAACTCCTGGAAAGAGTTGCATGATTTTAAGAGTTTGGTGATTGCTCCTGAGCGGGACTTTTACTTTAATGATGCACCCTCTACCATCGAGTATGAGAAGACTCTCGAAGAGGGAGAATGGGACCCCTATTGCGTTCTCCACACCAGCGGAAGCACCGGTTTCCCGAAGCCCGTTGTTTGCAGGCAAGGATGGCTTGCAGCTGTCAACTCGTTTAATGACTGGCCCGCGAGGGACGGCGTCCACTTGTGGCCTGCAGAGTTAACTCTAAGATCAAAGAGATATATTTTCCCTAGTAAGTTCATCCGCTTATTCTGTCGAGAATCACGTCTAAGTATTTCGTCAGTGCCATTCTTCCACGCGGCCGGAATGTATGTCTCTGTGTTCTTAGGTCTTTACTGTGGAACGCCGATTCAGCTTCCGATTCCCAGCAAGCCTCTACGGCCCGATATAGTTTGCGAATACATTAAATACGCCGGGCCAGGGACATCGGCCTTGTTACCCCCTTCGATTTTGGAGGAGATGAGCCATGTTCCTGAGCATGTCGAGGCACTGAAGCAACTGAGTGTAACTATGTTTGGTGGCGGTAAGTGACCTGATTTGGCTGCTCGCCGAAACAAGAACTTGTCTGTCGCCCTTGTTGCTAACGATCTATATAGGTAATTTGACAGCCAGGGCAGGAAACAGCCTCGTCGAGCAAGGTGTACACCTAGCGAACCTAATCTCTTCTACTGAGTAAGATATCTCTAAAATTGCGCACCCACTAGACACTTGGATACTAATTAACTAGGGCGCCATATCCTTTTTATTTTCAGCCGAACCCAGAGCTTTGGCAGTACTTCCATTTCGATGCCGAGTTAGGTGGTATGGACTTCCGTCCTAGTGACACGGACAAGGATGCTTATCACCTATTTTTCGTACGCAAGGAACGTCACCCTGGGGCTCAGGGTGCCTTCTACACATTTCCAGAGCTTAACGAGTACGATACTAAAGATTTGTTCCGCCCACACCCGACTCTAAAAGACCACTGGAAGTATGCTGGGCGCTCCGATACTGTGATAGTATTTTCCAATGGTGAGAAGCTTAACCCGGTCACTATCGAGGAAACAGTTGCTGCCCACCCAGAGCTCAAGGGGGCTCTAGTTGTAGGCCAGGATTACTTCCAGGCCGCCATGATTCTCGAAGCTCATAAGCACCCGCAAAGTGAGCAGGAAGAGAAAGAATTAATTGAGCGAGTCTGGCCTCTGATATCCCACGCGAATAAGGAATCCGTGGCCCATGGTCGCATAGAGAAAGACTTCATCATGTTCACGAAGCCGGAGAAGCCGTTCCCACGAGCAGGGAAGGGAACTATTCAGAGGGGACTGGCCGTTAAACTATACCATGACGAGATTGACGAGCTATACAAGAAGGCGGAGATCAAGCAGCAGGCAAATGCACCTAATCTGGATGTCAGTTCCGAGAGTGCCCTCGTCGAATCTATTAAACAGCTCTTCATATCGCGACTTGAGACTCCAGAGTTAGCCTCTGACGCCGACTTCTTCAGCGCTGGTATCGACTCGCTTCAGGTGATCAATGCTAGCCGATTAATAACTGCTAGCCTGAAAGCATCTGGAGTTAATATTGACCATACTGCTTTATCCCCTCGTGCCATTTACTCGAACCCGAACTTTAACGCCTTAGCCGCTTATATCTATTCTCTGGTGCAATCTGGCGGCGCGCAGACTACTAATGAAGCTGAGCAGGTGATTCAGACGATGAAAGCACAGTATGAGAAGTATACGAAGGACTTGCCAGTAGCGAATACTAATAAGCCTCTCCCGTTGGACGATGGCCAAACTGTTATCGTTACCGGTACCACGGGAGCTCTGGGCTCTTACCTCTTACACTTCATGATCGGTGATAGCAAGGTGAAGAAGGTCATTTGCCTTAACCGTTCCAAGGACGGACTATCGAAGCAGGCAGATTCTTTTCGCGAGCGTGGCCTAAACGCCGATTTCAGCAAGTGCGAGTTCCTCCAGGCGGACTTATCTCTCCCCGACTTTGGCGTGGGCAGCGAAAAGTACAACGAGCTTCTAGGTACTGTCGACCGAATCATTCACAACGGATGGCCTGTGAACTTCAATATTCCCCTCTCGACTTTCGAGCCGCATGTTCGCGGCGTGCGTCACTTCGTGGACTTCAGCGCCAAAGCTGCTAAGCGCGTTCCCATCATCTTTATTTCCAGTATCGGAACAGTGGAGTTCTGGAAAGGACGCGTTCCGGAATCCCAAATCACCGACTTCAGCATCCCTGGCGGAAACTACGGTCGTTCTAAGATGGTTAGCAGTTTGATCCTGGACGAGGCAGCGAAATTTTCTGGCGTTCCGACGGCGAGCATCCGCGTTGGACAGATTGCAGGATCACGCAACGAGAAGGGCCTGTGGAACAGGCAAGAATGGCTACCCTCTCTCATTGCGTCATCAGTCTATCTGGGGATGCTCCCTGGTAATATGGGTCGTTTCGACATGGTGGACTGGATGGCGATCGAAGACGTGGCAAACCTGGTGCTGGATGTAGCGGGTATCAACGAGCCGTTGCCCATCGACAAGATTTCCGGGTATTTCCACTCAGTGAACCCGAAGACCATCGCGTGGCAGGACCTAGCGTCGGTGGTGAAAGAGTACTATGGGGACCGGATCAAGAAGATTGTGGACTCGAAAGAGTGGCTCGCGGCGCTGAAGGCCAGCCAGGCCACCACAACGGATGTCAGCAAGAACCCGGGTATCAAGCTCATCGACTCGTATGAAAGCTTCTTCTTCGGCGGCGGCGAGGATGCTATCGTATTCGATATGGAGAGGACGCGTGAGCACAGCAAGACGGCGAAGAATCTCGAGGCCGTGACACCGGAGATGATGCGTAACTGGTGTAGGCAGTGGAACTTTTAAAGAAACTCATGGTGATGGTGCCCCTTGTTGTTTCTATTTATGAGAGGATTGCTTATGGCGCTTAGGATGTGGCGTTGTCCTTCACGAGCACATAGATTTGACGAATTTCTTTTCATTATGATGCCATATTTTGCACGTGTCCAACTGCGCTATGCGCTAGATAAACCTAGTATAGCTAAATAGAATTGTTGAACCAAGACGATTGCGCTTACAGCAAGTGTTAAGCAATTTGCGAAATCTGGCATACATGTTCCTAATGTATGATTCCAAGAGGTGTTATGGAGAAGCAAGTCCCTATTAAAAAGAAATTCGAAATTCATAAATTAATAGGGGTTAAATAATCACCCAGGCTCAACCTGCCTCTCAGTTTGCAACGCATCTGGCTAGCTGCAGTTTATGAAATATTTCAGCGGCATGAAACGATGCCTGCTTGTTCTCCCAGCTTGGTAAGTTAGACTTGTGGGGTCTACTGGTCATAAAGGAGCCGAGTAACGACAGGTCCGATGATTACCCAACGAGGTTACCGAGAGTAGATCGTGGCAAACTATTTTTGCCATATTATCCTATTCAATTTGCGCCTAGATATTTTCGAGCCCTTTTGTCATTTTATGAGGTAAAAACGAATAGAAAGTATTGAATGGTAATCATGCTCTGAGCAAATTACATTAGCCATCCAAGTTTTCTATCTAAAGCCCGGGTTGTTCCACGGTATCGCTCTTCTCTGCAATAAAAACTTAATCCGGTGAATTGAATGAAAGAGACCCCATTCAAGGTGCGGTAGTTTCCTTCTTATATACCTATGTTTGCTTGGATTTCTGCACTCCACCTAACTGGCTGTCAAACGTGGTTTAAGCAAGGAATTTTATAGGACATACGTTTCGAGAAGCCCCTATTTTAATAATATTCGTAAGTGGAAACGACATTTAGTTCGATCTTATGGATTAGGTAGGTGTAAAATATTGAGTATTCGTACCAGAGACGTAAGGTTGAATTTACCTAAGGTAAGTATATTGCTTCGGTCCTCACCTAGGGTCCTTATGTGATATCTAAAAAAAAACCTTAGATACCTCATATCTAATGCCTCCCCTTTATACTAGGTACAACTTAGAGATGAGGTCTGACACAAGTCACTCCCTTGCCCAGCTGAGTTGTAGATCTTGTCCCACAATAAGCTATGGGTAGGCTGGTTGGAATTTAGTATGGAGGACTATTCCAAGGTTGCTTTACCGAATGTACCACATAGACCGCCTTATAGGGTAATATTTTATATACAACCTGTGGGCTTCTTTAGGTAGATAACATTGAGGCGATGGCTCAGCGAACGTCAGAGTGGTGAAGGTAGATTACCTATGATACTAGAAATCCGTTTTTCTTCGAACTATTAACAACGACCTATCGAATCAATGAAGCCCGAATTTACCGCCCTGCTGTGCCATTCGGGGATTTTTGACAGGAGAGGTCAGCCGCGAGAGTTATACATACATGGGCAACCGCAAAATTATTTCTCGAGTGATGTCTGGCTTGCGTACCTTAAATGCCTAACCACCACTCAAGTCGTCGGCATATTCATTGACATGCGCCCAAGACTCGGCCCGTATGGATACTTTCCGATTAGATTGTGTAACTGAATGTACATTGAGGTCAACCAGCCCCTGTGGCTACTTTTGTTGCATCGGTTATCACTGAAGAATTTCGTAGTTGACGATACACAACGCTCGCGTCCCGAATTACACAAGTATTATATGATAACACAAGAAGACGTTCCATCTCCACCCTGTGTCCCGGTCATGGAATGGCCTGCGTTACATATATCTCGGTAATTGGCGAATTTTCCCGCGTGCTTCGTACGCTTGTCTGATATCTGCTCCAATGTTACCCCGTAGGAGGCCCTTCAGGGGTTCAGGTATTCACTGACAAGCTTTGAAACAGACCAATCGAGACTTTCTAGGGAAGAATAAAAAGTTGATGGTACGCTCGAAATGGCCCCATCATAATAAATTTATTGGTGGTATTGATAAGACTATCTGGGATTTGAGCGAGCTGAATAGGTTCGGTGGTACAAGGCCGAATTGCGGTTACAGCAAAGCTGGAGGATGCACAGCATCCTCCTGAAGTTGTCATTTACACGCGTTAGTACTTGAACATCCTCGTAGGGAAGAGGCTCAAAGTAAACTGGAATATCCCAAGTTCGATAATAGGAGATAGGAGACCGGCAATCCGCATCGCAATTTGCGAAGCCTGCAGTTGAGATGTTTGCATCCGTTGCTAGGATAGCCTGGGTTAGGCGTTTTCCCATGTTGATCTTTGAGAATATTCTCTTGTAACAGAATTACCCATAAGAATCATGGTCTTCATCATTATAAACATAACCGCACTTGAAAGCCTTACATGTTGTAGATAGTACCTTTCTTATTTCCTCTGATGTCTCGATTATTGTGTCCCACGGGAGGTTAACAAGGAGATACAAATATATTTCACAACCAGTTCCCTTTCGCACCACGACCTCACACACGTGGTCGTTAATGAGCATAATAAGAGGGCTAGAAGCAACGTCTTCGGGTTAATACTTTTTTGACCACCAAGCTTATTATAGGGAGACGTGTCAAGTCGGTGAATATTGAAGACACATTGTCCTCACCTGGTCCAGAATACAGACGGAATTCTACAGTAACATGATCACTATTGGTAACTAACCAACGGGAAACTACCGAGAAGAAGTCGACACCGGACGATCTGCTGGAGCCCCTTTACCTTATGCTGGTGTACACATACTGATATTATATTGAAGCTGTACATAACTAGCGGGGAGTGACCTCATCAACGACGTCCTTCCAAAGCACCAGGTAGCAGTTTTCTAAGATATAAAAAGGCAAAATCATCGGACGGCAACTCAACAGCGAGGTGAAAGTGGCCTGACTCACATACCTGTAGTAGTAGTAACGGGTAATTCTATTATTGTAGCTGGAACTTATCGTAACCAGGTACGTACAGCTGAAGGTGAACAACCTATGTAGGAGGTAGGCAGGCCCACCCGAATACTTGATACTTGGACGTACCTGCATTTACACCTTCCCTCCTTCCTCTATTCACAACGGTTTCTTCGTCGTTCCTTCCATCTTATTTCTAAACAATTCTTCTTAGGCACGCGCTAACTCTAAAAGTTTGCAACCAATGGAATCTTTCTCAATTTCAACTGGCAATTCGAAGGCACGATTCTAAAGAGGTACATACATACCTACGTAGTTGCCTGGTCAGTCACCGGGGGGGGGGGGGGGGGGGCGCCGGCGCGGGGGGGGGGGGGGGGGGGGGGGGGGGGGGGGGGGGGGGGGGGGGGGGGTGG